ATCATATTCTATCTGAGATTTTTTTTTTCCTGATTAAGAAGGGGGTTTCTGTTTGGTTTTGGTTTATGCCATCTTTTTTTCTTTTTTTTGTTTCTTTTATTTATTTAATGTTGTGGTATGTTGACCCTGGCTGCATGCTGGGTGCCTACCAAAACCATTCTTTCTCTTCCCTCCTCAGCTGTACTGGGGAGGGACAATTATGGAAGGCTCGTGGGTTGAGATAAGGACAGGGAGAGAACATTCAGCAATTACCATCACTGGCAAAAGAGACTTGACTTGGGGAAATCAATTCAGTTTAATACCAGCCAAATTAGGATTAGAGTATGGTAGAGAGAACTAAACCCAGTTTTTAAAAAACCCTCTTTACAGCCTTAACTCCACTCCCTTCTTTCTCTGCCTCCTCTCATTGAGCAGAGCAGGGCCATGGGGAATGGGAAATGGGGATTATCCTCAGTTCCACCACACCTTGTCTCTGCCACTCCTTCCTCCTCATGGGAAGGATTCCTCACACTCTTCCCCTGCTCCACCACAGAGTCATTCCCACAGGAGAATGGAGTCATCCATGAACTTCTACAACTTGAGTCCCTTCCACGAGCTGTTGTTCTCCATTATTCATCCACTGTGGGTGCCCATGGGGTCACAAGTGCTGCCAGCAAACCTGCTCCAGCATGGGCTGCTCTACACGGGCCACAGCTCCTGCCAGGAGGGTTTCCCGTGGGCTCACAGCCTCCTTCAGGCACCCACCTGCTCTGGTGTGGGCTCCTCCAGGGGCTGCAGGTGGATCTCTGCTCCCCCCAGACCTCCCTGGGCTGTGGGGGCACAGCTCCTCACTGTTCACCCTCTCTCTCCTCCTTCACCGACCTGGTGTCTGCAGAGCTGCTCCTCTCTCACACTCTCACTCCTCTCTCACAGCTGCAATTGCCCTTGTGCAGTACTTTCTTGCCCTTCTTAAATCCATTATCCCAGAGGTGCTACCACTGCTGCTCGTGGGCTCAGCCTTGCCCAGAAACTGGTCCATCTTTACTTAAAAAAAAATTGAAAGTTTTTGCTATGGGTATGAATTAAAGCATTTTCAGTCTTCTGGCCCGTTTGGTGACGGTGAAGATTCAGCACATTTAAATTTTTAAAGTGAAAATGCAAATATTAACTGTTTCAACATCAAAAATAAAAAAAAATTATTGAGATCGCAATTCCTATCTTACCTTCTGAAAGATTTGAGGGGTTTTTTTTTTTGCATCTCTTTAAGAGGAATAGAGAAAGTACTGTCACTACTTTTGGCATGATTTCAGGCATAGGACTGCCTGAAAATAAGATAGGTGCATATATTCTCTCCACTGTGTCCTTAGCCCTCAAAAGTTAAGGATCATTTATCTGTGTTTAGGTCAGGATGGAACAATAGTAATAACAATTCTAAAATTTTAAAAATCATCGGTGTCCCCTTTATTTTTTAACGTATATATTTTGTGAAGTCTCAATAACTTTAGAAAAGGTAATAGCATCGGAAGTGAAGAGTGGAATGTCACAGCAAAGACAGAGGGACCCTTACATCTCATGGACAATGCTGCCTTTTAAGTTACAAGCAAATCTGGTAAAAGCAATTTTACATTATTTCTGGTACATCATTCCTGCTAGTGCTCCTAAGGCATCAGCCAGCATTTTCTTTTCCCTTTGAAATATGCACTTCCAAAGGGAATGCAGTTTTCATCCTGTAACCTGGGCGCCTTCCATGTGGGGTAGGTCAAGTGTGAGCACGTTTGGTAGAGCTGCTGTGCAGGACAGGAGGCTGGAGCCAGAACACCACCCAGGTGAGATCTCAGACAAAGAAACTGGATATTTCTAATGCATCTTCCAGACAAGGGCCTGTTTTGAGCTTTGAATAGAGCAAACATTAGGCCAACACATTTCTGATTCAACAGCTTCAAGGGAACTGCAGCAAGGGAGAGAGAGCCCAATCTGTGGTGATTATTCATGTGCAGACAGACAGGTTCTGTGTCCGGGCTCTTGGCTGGGGCTGGTGGATTATTCCAGTCCTTGCAGACAGAGGCAGCTCATTTGGCATTATTTTCTGGTAACTTTTCCAACAGCCTCTTTTATCCACGAGTGCCAAGCTGCCGAGGACTGGAGTGGCCCGGTCTGAACCAGGCACTAGCCAGCCCACGTCTGCCTGTGTCCCGGTGGTGATGATGAGGGGGAATGGCTCCAGCCCTCTGTCTGCTTCTGCCTGCTCCTGGGACACAGTCTGGCATGCGTGGCTGGCTGCAGAGGGTGCAGAAGCACTTCTCTTTTCACCCAGCACACCCACCCTGCCAGAGGTGCAGGGAATGAAGGGGAGAAGTGCAGAGGTACTGACCAGAGTTAAAATTATCACATCAACATGACTGTGGTAACTCCTTGATGACCTTGTGCTACACGCACAAGAAGTTCTGGGTGTCTTTTTCTGTGGAGTTCAGCTGCAGACAGGTTGTGCCTGAATATTTGAGAAGCTGAAAATGTAAATGTAAAATTATTCTTAGGATACATATGTAGCTAGCACAAATATATTTTTAAAACCCTGTTATGAACAGCCTGATTGAGGACTGAAGATCTTACTGATGAGCTTGTGGAGTATGCTCCGAGGAAAAAAGGTTTTCTTGATTTGAGTAGAAGCACTATGGAACTATAAAAACTATGAATAAATGTGGCAGCCTCAGCAGCCTCTGCCTAAATCTATGGGCAGCTCTTTGGCTCAAGAGCAGTAGGTGGGATATATTTTTTATATTTACTGCAATATTAAAAAATGCTTATCTATCTTTGAAGGGTACCATTATGCTGTAGCTTCACGTGTTTCTGTTGGTAATTAAGCAGTTACGATTTTTTTCTTCAGGAGCTTTTGAGTTTTAAAATATTTTTGGAATCTTGCTGTTTCAGATGTAGTGGGCTTTCTTAATTCCTTCAAGTCCCCTACAGCCTTTTAGCTCCAGGGAAAGTTAACTCTGTGACTGAAAGTCAGTTCCTTTTCACAGCACTTCAGTCTTTGCTAATTCCATTTCTTTGGAGTAGAAAATGTACCTTTAAAAATAGTGCAAGCTTCTGAGCTTGAGGATTACTGAGAAGAATATGAAGGTTTCTACAGTTACTCTTCACTTTTTGTATTTCTCTTTCATTTAATAAGAATGCCAGTTTTGTTTGTTTGTTTTTAAGGGGACAGGAGAAAGCCTATTCTCTTCAAAAAATCATATTTAAGTGAAATACTATTGTTCATGTGTGCCACTCCCCTCTAGTGAATAGAAGTGGAATTGCTTCATGTCATGTCATGCCATTGACCCCCTAGCTGCAACCAGATTATCGAATTTTTCTTCAACTTTCAATGAGAGAGAGTTATCTTTCTTTCAGTGGAACAATGTGAACTTTTTTTCTGCTTTTTCTATTAAGGAAGAAATAGACTTTCATTGCAAAGCATGCCAAATTTGTTAAATCCTGTCCTTTCCACACAAATGCCCAAGTAAATATGAAATTAACAACTGTATTAGTTATGACTCCTCTGTCTGTATTTCGCTGGGTTTGAATAAAAGTTTCATGCTCCTTTCCCCGTTTACATAAATGAAGCATTTATTTTAACAATGTTTACTTTTTCCTTGATTGTTGAATACATTTTTGTGTAGTAATCTTAACTCCTCCATGATGGGTTGATGTTTGCTTTATTAAACCTTTGAATAATTTATACCAAAGCTCAAGTTGCTTGGTCACAGATAGGTGTGCAATTCTAGATAACAATATCTATCCACATATTTTCACTTGGGTGTTTTTGCTGAAGAGGTAACAGAAAAAAATAGTATTACAAAAATGTTGTGTATGTGATAAATATTCTGTCGAATGTCAGCTAACAAAGTACCAAGTGTGAGATTTCTCTGGCCACAGGCCAGTCAAATAGCTCAGCAGTCACCTTAGTCCATATTCTGTACTTATCAGCCATGGAGAGAAATACATGCATTTAGCTTTCCATTTATCATCTAAAGTACACAGCTAAAATATTCTCATAGTCAGAAGCTGATTGTTTCTATTTACTGCCCATGACAGATGTACCAAGCTAGCATGAGAGGAATCCTGTATGAGGTGGTCTTTAAAAAAAGATCTATTTGTGTCTGCTTTTTTGCTCATTAATTGTGCCCTTAATTCATCTAATATATGTGTAATTAATCAGTGGTGCTGGTGAAAACAGCTTTTTATTTTACACTGACAACCAAGTTTAATCCATTAGAGTTTCACAGGCTGTGAAGGTCACAAGCCTAATAAAGTAAACAGCCTGAAGAACTTGTATGAGATGTAGAAGTAGTGGACCCTAAATCAACACAAAATATGATGTGAGGCAAATATATGCAGAAAAATATTTCACAGAAAGAAAGAGCACAAATCTAAGTATTTTTTAGTTATGCTTAAGAGATGCAGAGGTATGCTGAGACTAGGATTTGCTCTATAGAGCTCCATATGTTTATTTATCATACACACACATTAAAATTGACCCTAGACATCCACCTACCTGAAGCTTAAAGAGCAGAATGTATGAATGTAGCTGAAAGGCCAAGTGTGACACATTCTCTTGTTTTCCTTCCTTTAGGGATATTTTACATTTCCCATCCTTGCTCTTTTCTGCTACCTGAAGATGCAGTTCACCCTTGTTCTTAAAGGATGGCAGATTTTTTTGTAAGGGCTAAAAGCAGGTTTTTTTGTTGTTATTTTTTACAGAAATATTAAAAATATGAAGCCAAACCCCATGGCATCTAATTAGGCAAAAATCACACTCAGATTTGGGGATTATAGCTTTTTTTTAAAATGTATTGTACAGTACATCACTGCATCTCTATATTTTCTTCCTTTGTAACAAAAGGATAAATTCATTGCACAGCATTTTCAAAACTCTGGTTGATAAATACCATTACAGAATTGTTATTAAAATCCCTCTTCTCTTTTTCAGACAAATCACTGCTTGCCCAGCCAACATTTGTTTTTGAAAAGAAGGACCATTCTTTGAAGGTAAAAAGCCTATTTTTTTCCCCTTTTTTATTATTGATAAAAATTGATAATAAAAATTTTTGAGAAATAGGGATTCTATAGACAATTATCCTAGCAGTAAGATTTTAGCCCTGGTTAACACTTGTAATAAATGGTCCAAAAATAGAACAAGGAAGAACAGAAAACAGAAACAAGACTTAATGCATATATGCTGGACTGTTATACTTTTTGTCTCTGTATAGAAAATGACTGTTCTATTTTCCTTGACTTTCCATGCTTATTTTTTTTTTTCCAGCGGCCTGCAGAAGACCCAGTTTGCAAAGCTGAAAATGGTAATGACCACCTCACTGAAACAGCCTACTATAACTGGGTTATTCACAGGTCTGCCTGTTCCCTGTGGAAACAGTGTTTGGACTCCTTCTATGAGCAGGGGCAAATCCCAGTTACCTGACTAAGATTTTGTGGGTTGTAGAGCCACCTGCTCTGTCCTAATATATATGTCTTCCCTCAAGACATATTCCATCTTACCTCCCATATTTACCAGAAAGACAAACTCCTGAAGCCCTGAAAATTGACCAAGCATATTGTTCATCTGTATGAAATCCTAACTGCCTTTTTCTATTCGCTTGGGTATGTTATAATGTAGCTCCTCATTCTTAGTGTTTTCTGAGCCCATGGGCTATGAACTGATTCTAAGTGCTTGCTTTAGGTTCCCTGAACTTAGTAGAAATAAAGAAGACTCCCCAGGGTTTTGTGACAGGTGTTGACTGAGATTCCAAAGCCCTCTTGCTCTTAGGTATTGCCTTAAAGCTGTTCTGTAAGTCCCTCCCGAGAATAAATAAGAATTTATTTTTGTTAAGGTTTTAATTCAACATCATAACATTATGCTGATGCCTCCTGCCAATTACATTATATTTTATTTTGTCTAGATTTCATTAATTGTTCCAGAAAACGTGCAAGATCATCATCTTTGACTTTCCAGAAGTCTGACTCTCAGTCTAACACTGGTATGACATTTACAGTCATGTTTTAATTAGAGTTGTGTATTCTCATCTGGTAAAGAAAAGAGCGAATTCCCCCATCTAAGAAATGTTTCTGCATTGTAGGCATGCTGCAAGTCTTGAAAACTAAAACATCGATACTTGCTGGTAATTTACAATAAATATATTTTAAATTAAAAATACATTATTTCTCCATACTTACATAATACTACATAAAATAGTGGAAAATCTATAAATTTTGTATAATTTTCTTGAATTGCTCACACAGTCAAGGGAGGACAAGGTCAGGAAAAGAATTATATCCCTGGCTTCTGGAAGAGACCAGTATTCCTTGGGCAATCCTTTAAAATGTAAAGCAGTTTCCAGAAGGGCTCCTTCTGTCCTGCCAAGAGCTGGCTGGGAAGGCCTTTAAGGATTGTGTATTGTTTCCATGGGAAATGAACACGAATCACTGAGGCTACTGTGCAGAAGGACTGATCTGTTTTTTACAGTCTTTATTTAACGTATGGATGGTACCAGAAAGGTATTTCCGATTTCAGGCATTAATATATGTACAGTGCATTTTTTTTAAATCACATCTGAATGTACCTAAGAAGACTTAAGCTGAGTTTGGTTTACTCTGAAAGTTAAACTGGGATAGATATGCTAGAAATTTTAGGGCATGCCTATGCCAAAAAACAAAGCAGAGTGCAGGAGGAAAGTGGAGTGTTTTCCCTTTTGATTGCCCACATTGTTTAAGTGCTATGTCCCTGTCTGAACCTCTCCACCTGGCAGTCTCCAGGACAGAGCTGTTACAGGGAGGATTAGCTGTGTGCCTGAGCCAGGCTGTGCTGCATGGCCTCAGAAACCTCCTGGGATCAGCAGCATAGACATAACCTAACAGTCTGCTTCAGAAAGATGGTAGGTAGCAGTTAATAATTCATTCTGGTGCCAATGAAAGCATTACATCAGTCTGGCTAACCCTAAAACTGGTCTTTTTTTGTTCTCCAAACAAGTGATAATTTCAGTCTCTTATTCTTTTAGATTCAGCTCTCACACAGAAAAGAGGGAGATCATCTTCATTTAACATCCTTCCTACTTTCCCTCCCTCCCAGACAGGTAAATAAAAGTAAATACTTATGTAGAAAAGCAAGTATTAGCTAAAATAAAGATGCGTGCAGAAATGCTTTTTCTGCAAGACAGAGCTGAAGTGTGTTGGACTAGTCTGATATTTAGGTAGTAGAAAGGAGTGTTTTTTAAGGAAGATTGGCAGTTCAATAGAAGATAAGGTTTTTCTTATATTTGAGGCGTCCTCTGGGACAGGGGTGGAATTGTTGAATAATTTAAAAACATGCATTTACAAAGTGTGATACAAATTATACTTAAAAAACTAAAATGAAATTACAGTAATTACATGAATAGTTTGCTTGCAATATAACATAGATGGTTCCTACAGGAATATAATTTTCTGTCCTGGGAGCCTGGGAACCAGGGACCCAGGGAATATCCTCACTCTAGCACTAACAGGAATGATGGAGTGATCTCAAATCCTAGCCCATGTCTCTTACCACAGAAAGGTTCTTAATAGACACTGGAGTAGAGGATTTCTAAATAATGTTAAGCACTCACAGCATTTTAATAGCAGCAAAACACACTCTTGAAATGAAAAAGTAGTGATGGTATGTAGTGTATCAGTTGTGGCATTTTACAGGACATGGTACATGTGTGACATCCCACCCTTAAGAGGAAGGTAGCACCCAAGATTTGTAGGTGGTGATGGTGGAAAGGAATGACCAGAGGTTCTGCAAAAGCTTAAAAGGTTTTACTAGTAAATGATACACTTGGCATGAAAATTGGTGTAAGCCCTGATCTCCTATTATAAGAACATGGAGGCAGGTTTGAGATGAAGGGGGAAGGTGAAAGGGAAGAGAGAGAATTAAAGAGGAGATGAGGAAAGCAAGAAAGAGAGGAAAAGACATCACCAGTCCTGGTTCCAGCATCAGCATTGGTCTGGCTGAAGGCATGTCCAGGGTCCTGGGGCACACACCTGGGCTTCATGGGGGTACCTTTGCATGGTGGCTTCCTCACCCTGGAGATGAGTTTCTCTTTTTTTATGCAAATCAGTTCTCATGTGCAGTTTGTCCTTTCTGGAAATGGGTCAGAGGCTCTGGGGGTCTTGGGTGGTCTTGATGCCCCTACAGTCCATGCCCACTTCTTGGCCTCATCCCTGCTGTGCTGTGCTTATGGTTGTCCTGGAAAAGTGCTGCCCTACCTCTGTATGGCCCCTTCTCTGGCCACATCCTGCACTTTCAAACAGTGAGTTACTACCTTGGTCCTTGGTTGGCTCCACAGCTGTGTGGATATCAGTGATGTACACATTACCCCTCCCAGCCTTCTACAACGTGGTTGCCATCACCTTCTCACTGGTGTTTGACATCTTTATTAAAACAGTGAAAGCATCAATAGTACACTACCATTGTTCTAGTAAATTACAAATGCCTTTTTAGCAGAACAGGGCAGGGTACTTTTATTTATTTATTCCGATGTATTTGGGACTCACTTAATCATCTTAAAAATGCCTAAAACTCGACCAGATAGCATTGGCATTTCAATATTTCTACAAAACAGGAACACCTAGTTTTAAAAGATGAAGAAAGATTTTGCATTTAAAACATTCATTAATATCCAAAAGACTGTGACATAACCAGAAAAGCTCTGGTGCTTTCTGGTGCCAAAGTCTGCCCATCTGTAAAAACTGAGACAGTAACAGTTATCTTTGAGATCTTTTTCAGATGGATATGTTGGAATATTGCTCAGGTACTACCAAAAGAGGGAGGGGTTACAGAAATATTTAATGGTTAAAATTTGGGTTTATTCATTATTCAATTTTAAATTCCTTTTCTGTAGTAAAGAGTAACATTTTCATGACCTCAGCTCTTCTTCAAAGAAATCCTGACATCATCAAAAGTGCAAGAGAAGGTAACTGTCATTGTAATATTTATTTACTGTAGTTCCACAAAGACATCCTTTAGAGATATGGAAGACAAAAAGAGAACAGTTATTTTCCATACTGAATGATAGGCTAGATGTCTTTATGCAGTCCATAACTTAATTGTTTGACAGCGTAAATTTCCTAGGTACTCTGATCTGAGCATCTGCTCTGACTACTTATTTCCTGAGTGGACTGAATATAACCTTCCATAGTGAAATTTCACCTTTCTAACTAAATACCTCTGCTTCTGGAGAAGGCAGTGATGAAAACTCTTGGCATCTGAAGATGCAGAATTAAATCTGAAATGGCAGAAGACATATCTAAAACAAAGCAATAAATATTAGCATGAAGACATGCCTAAATATATAAATACAAATATATTTTAGAAGTACAAATAATAATGTTTATGTATGTAACACATTACTTTTTTATCCTGATAGGATAACATACTTTTTTATCCTGATAGGATAACACATTGATTTCACTTCAGAGTTGTGTATTCTAGAAACCATTACAATTTTTCAGAATATGAAGCAAGTAAACAACAGTAAATATTATTTAAAAATGGTTTGAAACTCTCAGTTTAGAGGCAAGACATATAGGTATGACTTAGATGTGAAGAAAAAGTATATGTTTAAATATTTTGTCTTTGTATTTTGCAAGGATCCCTGTCACCAAGTCAATTGTGGAATGTCATTAGACCTGCCACTTTACAGCCCCCACAAGCCCTGACCTGTCCTGAAATTCCTGTAGTATCTCTAGTGACTAAGAAAGAAGCATGTGTTCAGGTAAAAAGAAAAATAATTTTACTGGAGCTCAAATTAAGGAAAAAAAGCCAACCAAACAAAAACATCCAAAACAACCAAAACCAAACACCAAACAAAACAGTGGTGTTTTAAAACAATTAATTATTCCACTGTGTGATTTTCAAGAAAGTTCCCATGTAAGTTTCAGTGGAATTGATATCACTGACATGATGTGAAATGTTAAACTCATGCTAACTGTGTTTGGAAAATCATCTCTTCTCTGCAGGCTCTCTTACCTTTCTGATGTCAAGGTTCTGTGCGAAAATCAGCTTTGGGTGTTTTGGATTTTGTTTATTTAGAAAGTGAGATTTTAATTGAGGGCACTGGCTTAGTACACAGCTGGAGGAAGCTCTGCCAACTTCCACATCTATTATCTCTATGTGTATCTGTCTGTCTATATATATACCTTAGTGACTCTGGATTCTAGCAGATCTGTTAATAGCAGAAAATATACTAGCTCTGATTAATCCATCTGATTTTATCATTCTAGCTATCTGAAGACTACTCTTCTTCATCAGCTGAGAATTCAGTAAATTCCAAAGCAGCAGTGGGGTCATCTATTACCATGAGTCTTTCCAGCTCTCAAAAATCACAGTAAGATTTTTTTTTTGTTATATTTCTACATTATTTTGTCACTTGGCTGATGGCATGCCCTTTCATCATCTGAGTGTAACGTGGTACTAAGCCCATGCTATCTGCACCCACACAGGGCTCAGTGGTGTTTGTGTGTGGTGCCAAGATTTGTGTCTACTGACATAAGCTTCGTATGACATAAGAAATGGACTCCTAACTGCAATTAATCTCTGTGAACTAGCAACCAAGCTGGAAACTATTTTGGTGTCATCTCTCTTCTGACTGCATGTCTGCTACATCTCATAGAAAAGGGGCAGAGAAACTCAGGAAATTTCATTCTTTTGAAGAATTGCCAATATATGTCAGTGTATTGGACACAAGAGACATAAAGAAAAAAAATACACGATTGATTTGGAAGACTAGGTGAATGCTGCAATTGATGCTCTACTTTCATTCACAGAACAGCATTTCTGGCACTAAAAGCTCTCTGTGGTGACTGTGATAGGCTTGTGATAGGTTTGTGCAGCACAGATTTCAGAATTTCTGTGAGGAAGCTGACGTCCTTGAACTGGGATGTTTCCCCATCCTCTTGACACTGTATGTAATGGAAAGAGCCCCATTCTTGGAGATTAATCAGACTCGGACTAAAAGCTTGGAAAGCTTGTGCTGTAAGTGACAGGAATACAACGCTAGGAAAACACTGTTTTCTGGTCATGTATTCGACTTCACACAAGGTTTTGCTTGGGACACAGAAAGGGTTCAAGGCCAGCAGTGAGAAGAAGTCATACTGGTGCAAAACTAGGCTATTAACTCTCTCTCTGGGAACTGACTCATGAGAACCCTAGGTCTATGGTTGTCTTGTGATATTTATATGACTTGCTGATGTTGATGAGGGTTATTTACCTGGAAGTTGTGAGCATCAGGAATACACTTCGTATCACTTTTAATAAGAGACTTTTCAAAATCGCTAGGGCCACAGATAATAGATTTCTAGTGTTGCCTAACTCCCCCTCCTACTCAAGGAGGGCATAGAATATATTAACTGCAAAGGAGTCTGTGCCAGTCTTCTACAGGGCTAGATGGACCACAGATAAAGATTGGGATGCACAGTGCCAGGGTTCTGAGGAGGCAGGGGATTTTTAGATGCACAAACAACTTAGGTTCTTAATACTTATCAACAAAAATAACATAATTAGAGGGCAGATGCTCAATGTGATTTTGGAAGAACCAACCTTTTCTATTACATTTAATGCTGTTGTGATGCCCTCTGAGGACACATAGCCACACAGCACACTGGGTTTTTAGCAGAATCTGAATGATGGTAATGCATGTATTAGAAAAGCTAAATCAGTTGCTGTTTCTACTTTAAATTTATTTACCTTCTGTCAGCTGTACAATATCTCAGAAAACATTGGTTAGTGACTTTCTCCCGTGAGGTAGAGAAATGCAACATAGTGACTCAGTAACAACAAGTTAAAGGTACTTACAGTATTTCTTTCCCTTCTTTTCCTCCACACCCTGCTTGGTGTGTTTGTGGCTCACGAATTCTGTCTATCACAATACTAGTTCTGTCACAATCACGATAAATGTTGATTCCTTTGACAGTTGAAAACTAATTTAAATCAACCAGCTGCTTACAGCTCTTAGGAGATTGCAGGAGGATGTAAATGCCATTCTTCTGATCCATATTAAGTGACTGATGCTGCAAAATACTTAGGTAAAATCTTTCTGAGATAGCTATTTTCTCATCAATAATAAAAAAAAGACTTTATTAAACTGTGCATGCATGCTGAACAGTAAGTGAACATTGCAGCCAGACCTCCTCATTGCTAAGAAAACAACTTTTTAGGTTTGCTTTTAATTTTCAATCAAGGCATAACTGTTGACACTTATTTATAAAATAAAATGCAGAGAGATGCAACAGCAGGGATTGCTTTGCCTGCAGACATTTCTTTCGCTTTTGCTCCTCTTCCACTTCTTCATCTCTCCATTATATGATTCCGTGGAGAGATGAGTGAAAATACCTTTTTATCCCTCTGCAGTTGCTGCAGCTGTCCATGTTCCATGAAATCACTAATTTTCAGTTCCTGGGCTGACTATAATAACGGGCTGAAAAGGAAAAAAATCCAGTTTCTTGATTCTGATTAAAAGCTTGGAAAGCTTGTGTCATAAGTGACAGAAATACAGCAGTGGGAAAACACAGGCTTGCAGTCAAAACAAGTCAGCTTTGCTGAAGCATTTGCTTGGAAAACAAAGGGTTAGAGGCCAGCACGGGAACTGGCAGCTACTCAGACCTTTTTGGACACTCTGAGAAGGCCAATACCTGAATCTATTCCCTCTCATAATCCTATGCGAGTACCTTATCCATGTTTCTCCTCCCACTGTTCCTTGTTAGTGATCATTCCCTGATATCAGTGACTGTGTTTTGTATCTCTGTGATAATGCCATCCCCGGGGCAAGAACATTTTGCATCCTTGACAGTGCATCCCTGGCAAGAACACTTTGTTCTTGCCATGCAGCAACATAAGGCTATTGAGGTTTTAATAACATTTTAATGCTGGCACTTACAGTTAACTTTCCCTTAAAAGAAAGATCTTGTACTGACTGATTTTTTTCTTGTACTTCTGAATATAATCAATATAACTTACCACACTTTTTCTTAGAAATAAGCCTCTAATTCTTGGTTTTTTAACTCTTTTGGGGTGCTGTCCTTAAACTGCTATTGAAACAGTCTAGAAGTAGCAGTTGGAATGTCAGTATGAAAATTGGTCACATTTGAGTGAATTTTGAGAGGGGTGTGTTTAAGGATAAAAAGCTTTTTCACACACTTTAGATTCCCTGTTCATGGCCCAAAACATGAATAGAAGCTTTCAAGGCTAAAAAGACAAGTATTTTCTAATTTCTCTGTTTTGCTCCTAGTCTTAGCAACATATCAAATGTGAGAATGCTAAGGAATACTTTTCTCATTAAGTGTAAGATTGAAAGAGGTAGTACTCAGTAAGCCCTTCATCCTTGGAGAGCTTCATCCTTCAAGCATACTGTAGTTGTGAACAGAGAAACTGTTTTAGAGGCAATCATCAAAGTTCTGCCAACAAGCCCAGCTAATGAACAGGAATATCCTCTACATATGTTATGTTAAGCCCTCCCAAGGGTGATAAATACTGTGAAACAGAAGTAAGTGGTGCTGAAGTAAGCAGTTTATGACACAATATCAGGCTGCCTTCCTGCCAAGTCATCCTTCTGGAACAGAAAGTGAAAAGAACTTGCATGGTTTTGCCTATGCCAGCAAGGCATGCAGGATTAGGTTCTGCAGAAAGCATAAACAACCTATAACCCCTTTGTGAAAAAACCAACCAAACAGACCAAAACCAAACCAGCAGCAGGAGCAACTTCCACATAACAGAGTTTACAAGAACTTCTCTAGTGACTTTTACAAAAAGAAATGAACCCTGTTAATTTAAAGTGGCTCTGGTAATTAGCAGGTCAAATAACAATTATACTTGCATAGAATATTCTTGAATGTAATCTCTAAAATATAGTTGGCCAGTACCAAAGGATTGCAAGTATTGAGTTCTTTTCTCATTTTAAGTCTATCTTTGGAACATGTAATTGAAAAATGGTAACACTTTTCTCTCCTGTTTTACTTATAATTCACCTTAAGCCATCTGCTATTATAGCTATACATTTTTTCAGTATTTGTGTCTGTATATGAATACACTGCCTTCCTGCTCTTCCAAGATGTAAGGAGGATGACCTAGGAGTGCCTGTAAGTCCCGGGGGTGTACATTACTCTGCAGAGTACTGGAGCTTCACCAACTTGAAAGGATAGCTGCTAATTGTTGATATTCCTTTGGAGGAGCAAAAGGAAACAGGGAGACAAAAGTAACTCATTAAAATTTCTGGAGTAAGACATTTCCCTGAGGAGAGATGCCATGCTGTTTGGCTGCTTGTTCTTTGGTTTTGAGGAATATCCTCAGTAATCTTAATGAAACAGTGTGATACTCTGTTCCTTTTGTGAAATGTTCCACAGAGAATATTCTCAGATTCTCTTAAAGAATTTGCCTGATTATTTACATGCTTACTTTTTTATTTTTTTTTAATGTTATGCATGGTCAATCTTTAAAGTGCTTTAAATAGTTCTAAATCACATTCTTGTTATTTTGTTCCCACAGAAGTCAGTTGCTCAAGGAAAGAAGTGTACAAAACAGCAGCAATTCCGATTTTGTGTTTGGGGAAAACATGGTTGAAAGAGTTTTGGTCAGATCCGCACATGCTGGAAGACTTTTTATCAAGGTCAGGGTACTTTTTTTTTACTTTTTCAGATATTAATTCTTTTTAGGTCCTCCTTCTTTTAAATATGTGAGTAAATATGGTTCTAATGTCTCTTGAGGAGAAAATATCTAAGAATGTGCTGCTGGAGGGGTAGGAATTCTTATCTTCACCACCCTGCATGGGTTCTTTAATTACTAATACGTACCAATAGACACTTCTGGTTTGCTCTTTTTTTTACTTGAAAAAGAGTTTTTTATCTATTCCATGTGAAGTGGAACACCCACAACGAAAGATAAAAGAATGTGGTTCCTACTGCTCTAGTAACATCCACCATAACTCTAAAGAGATCAGACACCTGAAGGGAGCCTACAAGGAGGCTGAAGAGAGACTGTTTACAGGAGCATGGAGTGACAGGACAAGGGGAAATGGCTTCAAACTGAAGGACAGTAGGTTTAGGTTCGATATTAGGAAGAAATTCTTCTCTTTGAGGGTGGTGAGACCACGGGAAAACATTACCTAGAAATACTGTGGATGTCCCATCCCTGGAGGTTATCCAAGGTGACCATTCAAGGCCAGGCTGGATGGGGCTCTGAGCAACCTGGTCTAATGAAAGGTGTCCCTTCCCATGGCAGAGAGGTGGGAACCAGATGACCTTTAAGGTCTCTTTCAACCCAAACCATTCTGTGATTCTGTGATAAATAAGTATGAGGGAAAAATTGGACACCCACCCTAGACAGTGTCCATGGTAAAGCATATTGTGCATACTTGTGAGGGAGCTTAAGTCTTGAAGGACTCTAGGACAAAAAACTGGTTCCCAAGCTGAGGACTGCACCATTGAAAATTGAATTGCAATTTAGTTTTCAATTGAAGTAGGATGTAAACTGTATACTTATCTGCCAGGTAAAAAGCTTGGCAACCATAGGTTTGGGCTATGACTTCTGACCAAGATTTATTTATAAGGTATGAGTTGACCTACTGAGCATTGTCAGGAGCCACAAGCATTTATTTATGCCTAAGAAAATTTATCTGCAAAACTGAAGGCGATAGAAATTTTTAAGTCCTCTGAGGTTTTGTGATGTCTCTGAGTTTTAAACTGCTCTTCTGGGAACTATGGGCTTGAACTGAAAATAAACCAGTAACTTAACATCTAAGTTCTTCAGTGTATTTAAATACTAGTCCAGAATCCACACAAAGAGGTCACTCTTCTCGGAGGAAGAATGATGTGCTGATTTTATGATAATAATATTACTTCTTCTAGAGACTGAAATTGTATCATCTGGCCTAGTTTTTACTGTGAAGCTATTAAAATTGCTCATCTTCAGCCTAGTATGCATTGAATGATTTAATGTTCTGTTTGATGTAAAGTAACATAGCCATTTTTTAAAATAGGAATTCTTATTTCACCTGTATTATTTTAGAGTCCTGAGAGGCATCCCAAGCTGTGTAATGAAGCTGATTTATACAAAGGAGAAATAACATCCATGTCCACAGGATCTTCTCATTTCGGGCCACAAACAAGTAAGCGTACTCAGCAAGCAAGCACAATTAGCTTTATTATTATGTTTCACTGTATTTCAAAGGATGTCAGATGAGTGGTGGTCAGTAATTTTCATCTATTCTCAAACTATCCAGTCATGAGTATGCTTAGAGTATGTGCCAAAATCTATACTCACAAAGCAGCTACAGTTTGGTTATGATATGAACCGGACTAACTTCAGAAAGCATGATCTGAATTACTCAAGGAATATTACGGAATATTATTATTTAGTACAGATTACTATTTGAAAAAAACTGCAGCAACCTTTACGAATGCCTTGTGGATCACATTGTTGAATTACAATTTTAGGGTGTCTGCTGCTTGCATTTTTCAAATTCTCTATAAATTACTTTGTTATTTTGAATCATAATTGTGGGACTGAAACTTCTATACGGACAGATTTCAGGGCTCGTTTGTGACTCCCATGTGAGACTTCCTACTAAAAAAGCCACGTAAGCCTAGGGTGTGAGGGAGTCCCCAACAGGCCCCTATTGTGAACATTTTTGACAAATTTTGCACTCCTTTTTACTAACAGATATATTAGATCCTATGATTTGTGTAAGCATTCTTACAAGTAAAAAATTATAAAAAGAAAGCTTTCAGAACATGTGTATCGATTATGCAAAGATACAGAGCTTTTTAGCAATGTTGTTCCTATCAAATCTTGTCCTTATAAATTCCTGCTAAATATTAATTGTATATGTATTATTATTATAAATATTGGGATATGTGTACTTGGCATAACAATATAACAGATGAGTTTAATTTGGAAAATCCGCTCCTAAATTTTTAGGCCTTGTTTCTGCTTGTTTCTGTTTGTCCCTTGGGACAAACCTTTGCAACTATAAACAGCCCTCTTCAATTCTGTATCAGCCTTTTTGGTGAGGTATTTTATATTCCTGCCTTTTCCTCTTATGTCTCTTCCTTTGGCCAAAAACGTATTAATAACACTAAACAATGTCAGATATGACAGGTATTATGAGGTCATGTCCTGTGTACTAGCTTTGTTGTCCTAAAAATATTCCCAGCATATCCCCTGTACAGAAAGAATTTGTGATTTTTTTTTTTTTCCCCTACAGAAAGACCTTTGTTGAGGAATGCAACACTAATTGAATCAGCAGCTGCTTGTATTTCAAAGCCAGTAGAGAAAATCCTGTTAGATAAAGTTGAAGTTATAACTGGAGAAGAAGCAGAACACAATGTATTGCAGGTATGCATTTCATAAACCTTGATGGTGAGTAGTTTCGTTGTTGAACATCTAGATATATTGCAAATGCAGCAATCTGAAAATAACTTCAAGTTATATTTTAAATTATCAGTTTTTTAAAGCTATGCCTCAGCTAACCCATTTCTCTGTAAGTTGGTTCTTTCTTTTTTGCATTATGTTTGTTCATTTTGTAGTCCCTTTCGGTAAGTGACTATTTCTGTGGTATTTTATAAGCATCTACACAAAACCTTAGACCTGGAACTGATTTGAGTAAAGATGGGGTTTATGAAAAAACTTTTTTTGGGGAAAAAAAGCAATGTGTTGTTAATTTGTTTTATAGTTCAGCTAAAACAGCAATTATCTTTCCAACCTGGCAGGGCACATCTTGCTATTCTTTGTCTTCAAAATACTATTTTCTCAGAAAATAGCAATTACAATTTAAAAAATCTTAACATTATTTTGTCTTTGATTAATTATTCTGTCTTGGCAGAACACAGAAGTTCTACTGTCTTTGGAGCAGTACTCTTCTAGTAGCAGTACTGGTGTTCTAGACTGCATTAACATTCGTAATGAGTGAAGAAATAAGGTTGTACAACTTTTGCAACAAATTTAGCTATGCTGGTGGATATCATAGATGAAGAGTTAATAAAGATGAAATAATTGAAAAAGTAAACTGGGATTCAAGCTGAATGTTTTGTATGATGAGAAAAGAGTTTAGCATAGATCTAGGAGTCATGTCATTTTGAGTAATAATGGTGAACATGCATATGGATGTATTAAAAGCCATATCAAAAGTTTTGCAACCATAAAGTTTTAGGGCCAATAAAACTAGCATTGGCTGGAAGTTTTCATCATGTATTTCTCTTTCAGATTAACTGCAAGCTCTTTGTATTTAATAAGCTTTCTTTAACCTGGACTGAAAGAGGCAGAGGATCCCTGAGGCTTAATGACACTTCTAGCAATAAGCATGGAATGTTGCAGTCAAGGCTAAGTACGAACTAAATAATGAAATACCCCATACAGAAAAGACCACATAACTTGTATTATTGTTGGCCAGAGTTGATTTCAGAACGTTTAAATCTGAGAAGATCTTTACATATAAGTCAAGTTGCTGAGAATCTTTTTACCTGATAATGTTCTCTGTGTTACAGACTGAGGAACTGGGCTCACATATTGTTACGTTCTGTGTACTTCTCTGCTGCACTGTGTCTTCAGCTCAGTCACCAGTCTAACAGTTTGCTCTTTGTTCTGCTTTTTCAGTAGCACTGTTTCAAGACTCTTTTGGAATGTTGTTCTTACTCTGCTGTCACTTTTTTTTACTGTATTGCAGTTTCAGCAATTTCAGTTCTCAGATTATTTCTTTGTGTGCCAGACATATTGAAAGAAACTAATATATTGGGATATTAAAAATATTAGAATCTCACTATATCAGGCTTTTAGACCAAGTGAAAAAGAAGAATTGTTGAAAATATTAGTTGTGTACAAGTGCTGGAGAAAACAGCTGCAGCATCTCTTATCATATTAACCTCCTTATTTCAGTTATGCGAAATCAAGGTAGCTTGAGACTGATTCTCAACACCCAACTCTGGGAACAAATGGTTATAAAAAGAGCAAACAGAAAGAGCCTGTGCTTCACTGCAACAGATCAGGAGGACCATTCTGTTCAAGTATTTCTAACTCAGGTGAGTAGGAGACAACAGCTCCACCCAAAACCCCACTTTATCTAGCAACTCGGAATGGTTGCTGAAGGTTAGTTTTAGCAAATGACCTTCGTACTCTATCAGAATATGCTCAGCTTAGATGTCACATGGCTTTTATTATGGCATGTGTTAGAATGATATTTAAAAAAAACAAGTGTGATGATATGACCTGTCCTTAAGACAGACATTTCCTGACTGTGGTTACATACCTCCAAATAAATGGATATCATTCTAGTAACATGCAGAAATGGCTCTTTTCTGGAAGCAATACACTGACTATTTCTTCACAGGTAGCTACAATTTTGTGAGTTACTCTGGTAACTTTCTGCCATGGTTCTCAACACAGCACTTGCAACAAGTGCATCCAATGTAGGACCTCAGTTTCTCATTTGAGAAGAATAGAGTTTCAGTATTGCCTTCTGTAAAACGATAGTCCTGGGAACCCTGATTTTATGCAGCAAGGGCTAAATTGGAGATGGAAATGTGCTGATCTTTTTTGCAAATAAATAGCACATATGTCCTAAGTTGAAAATGAGAGCATACACATGGTTTTAAGGATGTTTACACTTTCCCCAGTAGATCTTTCTAGGAGCGATTCAGTTTGCTGGGAAAGAAAAATAAATCTTCATTTCCAGGAAGTGTCACATATAATACATAAGCAAAGCACCAGTCACTGTATATGCAAATACTGTAAGTCTGTCACTTCCTAACAGGGCTTGACTTAACTATGGCTGTGCTGGACTGCTGGTCTGTATGTGAGAATTATAAATGTCCTGATGTCCAGATGTGCTGCACTGTTTTCATAGAGTGTGTAATTTACATTCTGTAATTTTGTCTTGGCACTACTGGGAAGTAAAAATAGACATATGGGAGGAAATCACGATATATAAGAGCTGTATGGGTGTGGCAAGTGTTGCAGGAAGCTGCTTCCACAGTTGCTGAAGAGGCTGGTATCCATCCCTACAGCATCCACCTGGCGACTGTATATATTAATATGTCAGTGCTTTCTTACTTCTAGAATCAAACTCAGAATCATCCAAAATATCAAGTACTCCATACAAACCAAGCTGTTCTTCAGGGAAAGTAATTTTTACGCTTATGTTTCTTGTAACTATGGAGAAAATAACCGACAGCTGCATATAAAGCTCAGACCACATAAATAAACTTCAAATTATTGTATTTTCATTAATATTTGGATATTAATTATTAAGTGTGAATCTTAAGCTGATTGTTTTCTATTAGAAAGAACAAAATACAACTCTTTCATTATTTTTAAATGAAATTTTAAAAACAGATTTTTCTCAGTTGTTTTGAACTGTCTGCATTTTATGTTCTGCAGGCAAGCTCAAAAGACACTGAACACCTGTATGCAGCAATACATCATCGCCTTGTAGCCCTGCGGAGCTTTGCTGAGCAAGAGCCAGATGCTCATCAAGCAGACACAGAGTCAGATACAGCTTTGCAGCCATTAAACTGTGATAGTGATGATGATGACGAAGAAGTAACTCAAGTGAGCAGTACTGGATCTGGTAAGCAGAAGTTTTGCTGGAAATTTGCTTGAAATAATGAAAATGAGACTTATTTTTCTTTTTTTTTCTTTTTTTTTATGCTGACTATAACTTTTATCTGATACTGATACTCCTTTTTCAGGTAGAAATAGGGTAATTCCTTTTAGCATTTTGACTTACTGCTGTTAAAATATAAGGTTTTTCCAGCTCAATTATCTACACATACTTCTCGCCATAGAACACTCTTGACAAAAGGTTGAGGTTTAAGAAATTTTATATTATCAAGCATTACCTAAATGTTTTTTCAGTATATTTCAGTAGAAATGACTAGAGATGTTGAGATACTGAAGGATGAGTCCGTTCACATCAGTGACTAGCTTGTCACTAAAAGCCTGGAGCACAATGTATTTACTAAGATATTTATTATGTCACAGTTAACTTAATTCAAAACTTAATTCAAAATGATTCTTGATTGGCAACAACTACCTCAACATTGCAGGACAATGTTTACCAGTTTTGCCTGATTTCTTCACCATAACAAAAATGTAGGTTCCTCAGAGAGAAAAATGCTACTAAAGATACCAGATATTAATGCCTTAACGCTTTTGCTAATGCAGCTCACAACAGGGCTCCGGGCACATTTGCAGAAACCATGGCAGAAAGAGCTGTTAGACTTAAAAGCTCTTCTTAGCAAAAGACATTTTATATTTCAGGAGCAAATTCACTGCTTGTGTCAAACTGCTAGAGTGGATACAGCAGCTGCCAATTAGGTGTGATTTTTCAACAGCTGGATGACATCAGGAAACTCTGAGTTGTTGCTCACAGGATTACTTTCCCTCTTCAGCTAGGTAACACACTGTCCTTATATTATAAACATTCCTTTCAACAACTATTCATTAAGAATCAAGTAATTAACAGTAACAGCTATAAGTACTGTTTCCCTAAGGAAACAATTTTTTCCCCTTTATCATAGAATATCCTGAATTTGAAGGGACCCTTAAGGATCATCAAGTCCAACTCCTGGCACAGCACAGCACACACAAAGACTCACACCATGTGCCTGAGAGCATTTTCCAAATGCTTTTTGAACTCTGTCAGGCTGTGACCACTGCCCTGGGGAGCCTGTTCCAGCACCCAACCACCCTCTGGGGAAGAACCTTTTCCTGATATCCAGCCTAAACCTCCCCTGACACAACTCCATTCCCTCGAGTCCTGTCACTGTCACCTCAGAGAAGAGATCAGTTCCTGCTCCTCCCCTTTCCCTCACGAGGAAGTTGAAGATCCCAATGAGGTGCTCCCTGTCTCCTCTTCCCCAGGGACAACAAGCCAGCCTCAGCTGCTCCTCATACATCTTCCCCTTAAGTCCCTTCACCATCTTGGTTATCCTCCTCCTGATAGACTCCAATACCTTTATATCCTTCTTATATTGAGGTGACCCAAAACTGCACAGAATTTCTGGTAACTTGGAAATTTTTGATGGACCTTGATTCCTTCCCAGAATACCTAATAAGAACTTCTTCTTTCAGAGGAAAAAAAAAAAAAAAACAGGGGAAAGGGAAAAGTAGTGTAGGAACACAGATACACAGATATACAAGTTAAATATTTATGACTTCTGATACAAATATTCAGATGGCAGCAGGCAAACAGATTCTGAAATGGGTGAGGTGTTTTTGTTTTTTTCCTTGTCCTTTCAGTTTAATCATCTGTGCCTCATTTATTCCAGTTTGTAACAACAGTTTTAACAATCACTTTCAAGTGCTTTTTTAATGGCTTCTAGCATTTCCTGCTTATCTTAATCTCTTCTCAAAGCCACAATGTTTTAATTTGCACCCATTTCAGTGACTGGTATCCAAGTCACTCTCCACCTTCAGACATTCAATCTCACTCATCATTGTCCCTGGAACTCCCTTTTACAAAAATGGAAGAATAATAGGCCTTAAGGGTTTTGAACAGGAAGAGGTCAGTTTTAAGTATCAGCATAGAAATGTCCATTTAGATACAAGAGAACAGATCTTGGTTATTTAAGAGCACTTGTTTTAATCTTAATTTTCATTCTTTCATTTTCATTGAAGGGTATATGTGAATAAATCATCTTTTTATTGATGTAACTCAGTTTTGGAGACTACCTCTCCTTAACAGTATATAAATGTTAAGAAGCATAAGTCCTCAGAGACTGTTTCTTTACAAGAAATAGAAGAATTTACAAATTATGTCTGCATTTTATTTAATTCCATTCTATTTGTTTTTTCTCACCCTCCCCAAAGAGGTTTTCTTTTCTTAATATAGGAATTTCCTTCTTCCTAAACTGAACTTACACAGTTGCCTAGATGATGCTATTTATTTCATGACACTGTAAAAGACATGAAAAATTAGACAGTTATCTTTATAGTATCCTTATAATAATTGTCTTTAGTCCTTGAGACAGAAGAAGAAAACAAATATGATATACATAATAAGTGACTTATGGACGTTGAAGTAGTTCTGTATATTTGCAAGACTTTGTTGTAAGCATTCTTTACAGCAAATTCTTAATCTACAGTATGTTAATGCTATAATGGACAATGTATAAGGTAGTAGAGATATTTCTATGATTTTATGAGTTCAGTATAAACATTCCAATATTTTTAAAATTCCTAGTTGAATTGCTTTACTTTCAAGTAGAGATATTAATTTCATAAAATCCATAAAGACAAATTTGCTGTGCCTGATATTTTTTTCAGATCATATTTCAGCAGTTACAGCCTGAATATTTTAACCAACAAATTCTGCTGTAAATCTGAGTGGAGAGAAAAAGAACAATTCATCTTTAAATAGATTTTAAGAGTGGATGGGATCAGTAATTCTTTGGAAAGTTATTTATCTTTTCCCCTCTGACTATAAAGAGAGCTGAGGAAGTGAATTTAGACTAAACAGTAAACTTCTTGGCTGACCAAATTAAAACAAGTAAAGTACATGGGAGGTACAAGTATAGCAGCGTCACTAGGCAAAGAAAAGTTTTATGCATTACACCTTATACTCCACCTCACCAACCTGAAATCTCCTTACTTCATCCTGATTGAGGGATCCTCTTTTTTGATTGAGGTGTCCTCTCTGGAATTAATCTCAGAAGCTATTAGAATGAATTCAAAGATTCTGGAATCTAGGACTAGGTAAGTCCCAAGAAGTGTCTTCAAACCTAGCCATAGGCCTATGAGAACAATCATAATGTGCAAACACATAAGAGTGTATCCCATATGGATCCACAAAGAATTACATGGATTTTGGAGACTACTGGTATTGAGAGCCAGTAGTCTCCAAACACCAGTAGTGTGCTGGTCTGAGAACCATAGAGTATCGTAACACAGAAATGCAAAAGCAAATGCATTTGCAGAAAAGAAAAATTATTTATTTTAGGGACATTTCCTGGTCCACTATACATGTACTTCCCTCATCTCAGCTACAACAGGACTCTCTCTTATGCTGGAGTTTATCAAGATTTAAAATGTTACAAGAACTTTCTATTTTGAAGGAAAGTACTTCTAAAGATCTTAAAGGAACTATTCTTCAGCAACTCCACAATAACTACTGAAAAACTGCTATCTTTCTTTGGCATTTCTTGTCAATTTAATTTAAATTCTTAACAATTGTTAGGGATTCCAAACTATAAGCTAACACACACAGACCTGATCGTGATTAAAACTGAAGAAAAAGGAAAAGTTAAGAATTAACTTCTTTGTTGGAGTTTCTGTATTCACTGTGATAGTGGTATTATGTGTCTGATATTATTAGTCAGTTCTACCTACTTTCTGCAGATGAGTCAAAGTCACAAAGAATTATGTACCAAAACCACTTTCTCATAACCAATGAGCTATTCGAAGGGATGTTGGATTACTCACAGCTTTTTGAGCATCTGCAATGAAGTCTTAAGACAGTGTACCCTCCATAGGGTGAGACAATTTGCACCCCGGGCACATTGTCCTACCTAGACATCAGATTCCTTAGTGGCTTTTGTGCTTGTCTTTATTGACGTGGAGGGTCATAGGCTTCATTCATGATTCACATGCTCAAATATTTGTGAATAATCCTGTGTTATCTAGTTACCTATTTACCTAAACCAGGAACTGATCATATCCAAACTTTAACCTACTGCTTTGGTATTATGAAATGCTGGATTGTTTCAAAACATGAATATGCTCTAATAAGCAAGATTTTTTTCAATAAATTCTTTTTCAGATCATTCTAGATGGAACCGCAGGCGATCTGTTGTCTGCTCATGATATCTGCCAGAGATTACAACAGCTCAGTTGGGAACTCATCTTCCCAAAATGTCTAAGCTGACTCATCAGCCCCTGGAGGGAGGAAATCAGATGCATATTGCTTTATGACTTTTAAGTAGAGATTAATTTTAGAGACAGCTTAAGTTTAATTTGTTGAGAAAGAACTTCAGATGCACTATTGAGGATTCCAGGCAGCCTGCTTTGCACTGAGCTGTGAGTAACACCATGGCTTCCAATAGTCAAGAACTGTTACAAAGACTTTCAATTTTAGAATTAAATATATTTAGATACATTATTAGAGTAAGGAATTTTATAGGGAATATGTACTTGTTCATCATATTGATGGATAATGCCACATAAGCATGAACTAATATATGTGAACAGATATTTGTTACTTTTAATCTGTTATTTAAAAGGTACATTTGGAAAGCTTTAAACTAGGCTTCACTGAAAACATTTATTTAAAATTGTGTGGTAACATTCAGCATCATATTTTTAAGCACATACAAGCAAAACCTGGGGTGGCAGTTTAGCATGACCAAGGCCTATAGAAACAAACCTTAATACAAGGGATTTTATTTAATGTTTCTTTTGAAAATATCTGGAGTGATATCCTGGCTGCAGAATTTTGTTTAAGGGAAAAGAATCATGATCTGCATCTTTTAGCTGTATGCATCAAAAAAATCCACCATGAAGAAATTCTAAGGGCCATATGAACTTTAAAATTTTAGGTGTATCTGCTTGCTCATGAACACCTTTTTAGCTGAACAAAACAAGCACTTGCACTTCTGTTTACTAATTGTCTATTCGATATACACAAATAAATGCATGCACAGTACAACAGGATATCTACATTTAAAAAAATCCCTTAAATGTGTGAGATTATCTGAGATTACTTCTGCCCTAGCTGTAGCTATTCCTAACAGCATCATTCATATGAGTATGTTACACACTCACATGTGCACAATAATCCCAATAGTGGCCAAGATAAGTTGCTCTGTAAAAGTCATTGCACAAACTACTGCCTTCTACCTAAACATTTTTGTGAGAAAAAAACAACTTGTAAATCAAGACTTGCAGGGTCATTCATAAGCCCATGTATATTAAGACAAACCACTTATGTTCCATGTTTTCATTCTGCCAAAGATAGAATTCGTCTGCAATCTCTTCACTGTCACTTCCCTGATGTCTTGCATATTGTAATTTTCAGAGCTGAAACAATGTTCTGAAATATCTCAAGTCCTTTACAATTAAGATAATTGTAATCATTTCTCAATTTAAAAAGCTGCAATACACCTGAACAGTCAAATTACAATTTAGTTTTCCCATTTGAACATGTGTACGAAGTTGGAACTATACTAGTTTATTCCTGAATTCTCACTGCACTGCCAAGATTAGCATCCAGATTAAGCTCAAATAGTTACCTGAATTACACTGAATCCTAAATGGCCGACCAAAATAAGCACTTGTCTGACATTGATTTAACATGTGGATGACAGTAAATTTAAGTGGAACTTGATTTTTGCCTTCAGGAAAAAGGGAGTGCTTCCCAAAAGAGCACCAGTGTCAAACAATGAAGCATGGGGATTCTCTTTGACTCCAGTCTGCCAATAACAAAGATATTCTTTCCATAACAAGCTGTACATTGTGTCCTTTGTTATCAGCCTCACTCCTGACCACAACAATATTTACATCACTGACCTTCATATTTCATTGCTGCAACTCATCCTCAGGGACAAAGCTCCATGCTATAAAAACTCAGGCAGTTGTAAAACACAGCAGCCCTATGTATTTAGCAACAGGTCATGGTGATAAGTTTGCCCTGGAGTTCAGCTGGCTGGGCACTCACTGAATGCAGAGTTTGATTTCAAAGTCTGTCCTGATAATCAAAGCTTTCCTGTGAAACAGGATTTAAGCACCTGAGTGTTACGATACCCCTCTAAATTCTACTACAGCTGTAAAATCCTTGGCAAATGAGAGAGGTTTCTAGGGCAGGGACAACAGAACTTTTTCAGACACAGGACTTACACTCTGTAATTTGTTCCCACAGTGTACAGAGCAAAGTTTATAAATAAACGCTCTTTTGATCTGTCTCTTCCCAAGATCCTTACATATACACGAGTATATGTATAAACACACAGTCATGTGCACACACTCTCACAAAGCTTCATCTCCTAAAAGTTGAGGAGGAAAAGACATGTTTATTTTAAAGACATTCAATAGTCTGGTAATAGAGGAAAAGTTTTTGCTCTTAAGAACCTAATTATGTGTTCTCTTTAGTCTGATTGCACTAAAATTCACTTTTCCTCAAGCCTGAAGGTAAACCATTATGTAATGTATTACCTTGGTTTTAATAATGTAATTTGTCATTCTATGACACCTGGAGAGCAATTTCCATGCCTCAACAATAAACAATTTTCTTACCACTTAAATTTCTGTGTAACTAGTAGTCTTATTTTGTGTCCCAGTTAGAGCTTCTACAGTTCCGTGCTGCAGAATCTCAAGCCTCCTTTCTTAAGGAAATCATGTGTAAGTGGTTGTGAACTCCATCCACCTATCTGTCACACCCACACTGAATCCACTGTTCAGTTTTCAAAATCTGGACAGGAACTTGAATGCTCCAAGGCAATTTAATTTCTTCATGAAAATTGGCAGTTGCTGAGTGACAGAAATCAAGAGAAAGGCGCCCTTTGAGGAAGAAGTTTCAGGGTAAGCCTGGTATTTTCTGTGATGCTAGTAGGGCTGAGTGGTGTTATTTCTGCCTCTGTACACGCTGCAGCACTTTCTGGGAGGAAACAGTCAATGGAAGGATGGGTCCCTGTAGCCTCAAAAGAGGTATAAAGACATGACCCAAACCCAAATATGAAACTGGACAGCATTAATTTTTTTTCCAGATGAATTTTTATTTATGTATGACTAACTCCAGTGACATTTATATACATTATAATGTATATAATTTATATATATTTACATTATACATTTCTATACATTATAATGTAGAGCTGCAAGATCTTAATGTATTCATGCAGTAGTAATTTTTCCAATGAGGGAAAACTAACAATTTCTAATAATGATATATTCTACTAAGTTATGAACTTCTAGCAAAAATCTACTTGTAAGGGATATACTGAATGTCCTGCTTTACATTCTGGAGGCATTTGTATCTCTTAATAAATCTTGTCCCTCAGATTTTTTATGTCATGCTCTTTAGTGACCTCTGAAATAGTTTTGGCAGACTGTATGAAGTTAAGAGTTAGGTAATGTCTCTATTGAATGAATTCAGAAAAATCTAGCACATTTGCTTTCACTGCTAGTGTCAGCCAGTATAACATGGAGAGAGAGGGAAAGAGCATCCTCATTTCCCTTAGATGGGTTTTAGAGGCCTTACCACAGGGGCATGCTGGCAGGAAAATTTAGAAAAAGCATGCATGGCCTATTCTACACCAGTTCTCTATCTAAAAAGTGGACTTCAAATCTACAACAGTTTATGTTTCACAAATACTAAAGTTATTTGTACAACATAATGTGTCTGCAGCTGTTTGAGCATATTCAAATTGCTTCTGAAATGTTGAAGTCAATTGTATTAGGCCACTTGAGGGATGGTGTAGTTTGCTTTGCGTAAGCAAAGACTGGGAAGAAAAGTAGAAAAGTAAATCTCTGATAATTAAAATATGTTCTAATGGAAGTGTGGACAAGAAAGATTGCTATTCCAATTAGTTTTGTGTCAAAAAAAATCAGTAATTTGCATAGCTGCACTTACTGTGCTTTTTCTTAAGCTTCTTTGATTTTGTAATCTGGAATTTCTAAAACAAATTTTATGACTCAACTATCAGTAATCATTGATGAGGGTACACAGATAGGATCTGGGATCAGAAATTCTATCAGACTATACCTGCTAATACATTCATCTACTTGCCTTGTAAGGCTCTGATGTGTTGCATGAGTGACATGTTCTCTAAGCATTAGTCTGGAGTTTTCCTCTGGATTATCAGAATTAACAGCTGTGATCAGCTGGTCTCAAAATCCGAAGACTTTCTTTTATGTAATGTTACAGTGATGGTGTGTTTACCTCCTCCCCTGTGAATGCATCTAACACTGACAGCATCACCATTTTAAACACAAACAAACCACCGTTTTTCATTATCAGTAGCACTGAGGGTCACACAGAGTAAGTCTGGACAATGCAAATAACTGGATAAGTTAATTATATACTGGTTATTGATTAAACTATGACAATAGTGCATTATTCACAGACTTCAAGGAGTAGAATTGAATAGTTGTCCCAGATTGTAACTGCACTACAAGCAACATATACATTTTTTGGGTGGAAATAGGCTGCATATGGAGATAATCTTATATAAAACAGCTGGCATTGCCAGTTTTGCAGCTAGTGAAATTTAGGGAATAATTTATGTAGAAATTTTTCCAGTTACTTTGTTACACAGAATATTTTGTGCATTACATAGGTATTTTTTAAAGTTCACTGTATACTTTGAAGCATATAGAGCTAAGGATGCCTGGTTTTCTATGGATTTGTATCTTGAAATTTACATTATGTACTATAACCCAGAGTCAAAAATGGGCATTTCTCTGAAGCATTTTTCAAACTGCAGACAATATTGAGGCATCTGTTTTCATGAAAAATTTTTAAGTACCCTATGCCCAAACCAAATTTGGTTTTGGTCAGCCAGGGGTTAAAAAAATTATTACGGTGGGAATTCACTCCTGGTCCATATTTGTGTCCTATAAGGATACCAGGTTTAAATGCCTATATTTATTAGTTTAATTTTGCATTAAAGAATCTGCCCCTTAATCCATTGATATATTTACTGTTTTAAATTCATTGAAAATGAGGCATGAAGACATATCATATGTCACGAATTGAATATATCTCAAAATAGGTAAAGGGTCATTTGACATATATGTGTGTCTTCTTGCTGTATATCAGGTGTATGTTCAAATCAGGAATTGTAGTGAGGGAGGGTTTAGTGTCTAATGAACATTTTGTAAGTAGGTCCATTTATAAAGTAAGATGCAAACTGTAAGTAACATTCCACAAACTTTATTTTATATGTTATAGAAAGTTTAATTCCTTTTCCACAAAGACAATGGGGTATCAGACAATCAGTGTACTCTGACAAAGAGCTAGTCTGTCAGAGACTTCCTTCTGAGAGCTATGGATTAATCACTTCATAACCCGTGCATCAGTATTGTTTCCAGAACTTTAAGGTATCATCTACTGATTTGAATTTACACTTTAAAACACATATTTCATATTTTATGCTTATAAGTCTGCTGTGGGAATTAATTCAAAAGACCATAACATGATAATTACATGACTTAATAAAATACTGTTCCATATTTAAACTTAGTGGTTGAAAGGATTTGATTTTCAAAGACCAAAACTATTCAATATAAATCGACAATACACAAAGCACAAAATCTTAGAGGAGCAGCTAAATGGTCAAATAAGTTATAAAATAGAACAGAGTAATAAATTTTCAAAATCTCCTATCTTTTGGGTCTCCAGGATGTTGTATTACCTACTGCTTTGTACAACATAAAAGTTAATGGTTATACAGAATGAGGCATTTTTCTGGTTATCAAGGGAATTAGTTATGTTTAATTGGTCTCCTGGTAATCTGTTTTGTGATATTTTTCTTCAAGGCTAAGCTAATCAGTAGACAAAAAAATCCTCCTACCCA